AATCCACGATTCACAGCTACAAAGTCCTTAAAATTTTAAAAACAAAGATCATCACGTATTTATTTATAATTCATGACTCTTGCCAGGAAGTCCTTGAAAAATATTACCATAAAACAACCTTGAAAAATAATTTTTGAAAACATTTGCGATCCTGATCAAATATACAGGGTAAGATAAAAAAACTGCAGCCATAATTTTTACATTCTTTTTTTTATTCTATTGATGAAAGCAAAAAATGTCGGAAATATCATCAAATTTAAGAGTAACTTTAGATTTGTTCGAATTTGTCACCTTTGGCACGAATTATGACCTTCAAACGGCCAATGAAACCGTCACACGCCACCTGAATGTTACTCTGCGGTATTTTGGCCCATTCCACCGGCGAAGCGCTTGCTTGAGGTGATCGACACTTTGGTATTTTTTAGTGCCAAAATACTCCAGACACAATAGTCCAACGGATTGGTATGCGGAGATTTTTGTGGCAATTGTGCGCTGAAAATGAAGCGATGAACCTCATTTTGTAACCATTCTTGGGTTGCGCGTGCTGAGTGCGATGGTGCTGAGTCCTGTTGGAATGTCCAAGGTCTACGACCAAAATGTTTGCGTGCCCAAGGCTTTAATACACCCTTCATGCAATTTGCGCGATAATATTCGGCATTTATTCTGATGCCACGATCGACCATCGCCTGTAATGGCGGCCCACACCGGCACTTGGGTTCTGGTGGCCAACCGAAGGTGTTTGTTTACAAACTGCTGGACAACAAATGTTTTCTCATCGGAGACGGAGAAAACCAAATTCGGCAGTTCACCATTTTCGGCCAAGCAAAGCAACTCTTTAGCTCTTTTGAGTCCATTTTATTTCTGTTGCGGTGTAAGTTCTTGCACTGTTTGGAATTTCAATGGCTTTACCCCGAGCTTATTTTTCAATATTTGCCGAATGGTATATTGCGATATGTTCAGCTCACGAGCCATTTTTCAGCATCTGCGACGCGGGTTTCGATCAAGTCACTTCTTTATTTTTTGAACCATTTCTGCTGATGTTGCTGTTTTCTTCCGTCCACTTCCTTGACATATGTCGGGCTACGCTACCAGTATCACGTAATCGGTAACGAGCGATGGTACGAGACACAAAAGATTTATTCCCATTTAAATGCTGGAGTGCTCCAACGATAGCCACTTGTGGTTCTCCAGCCAAATATTAAGAAGTCACACTATCACACCATCACGAATAACTTCTTTTCTAAGCAGTTCTCACCAAAATGCTTTTGTACGCTTGTAAACAATATAATGAGCTGTCACTGGTATAATTTTAACAGCTGTCGGACAAATGGCTTAGAAATGACAGCCGTCTGAAGTTGGTTGCAGTTTTTTCATCTCAGTTTGTATTAGATGAAGTTTTAAAAGGGGTAGGACTTCGTTCGTCTATAACTGGTACCTCACTCAAAATTTCTAAAAATTATTACATATCTCATAAGCCAAGCCTCGCACGTCGAAATACTTATATCATATTTATTTAGGTCCGATACGAAATGGACAATGTTGGTCTATTCCTTCGGAACCTACTCCATAGAGGGTCAATCGTTTGAATAATCATAACAGAAGTCAACATATCTTTCAATAATCGATTATTGGTTGAGGTTATACATCTGTCGGAAATAAACCGACCGATAATTTTTAACATGTTCTCTTGGAAAAAGGTAGGGAAAGTAAATTTCTTAGAAGACTCATAGCAGTTCTTTTGTGACTAAAGGATGTATTGGGGGCTTTTTTCAAAGAGAAAAAAATCTACTGTGCATTTGAGTCTCCACTGCGGGGGTTGGTGTATAGAAGGCCTTTAAAAGACCAAATTCCTGCCTCTGTTGCCTTTACTTATTAATGATAAAAAAACCTTTCTCCCTAATCCTCTTGTTTATGCCTGTTCCCGAAATTGATACTTTTTCCATTGAATTTGAAAAGACGACCTGGGATTTTCTCTTTATTTTATGTTTTTAAATTTAAAACATTTCTTTAAAAATCCTAAAACCCAAACCTGCCAGGACATGTGGAAAACTTCACAGGTGGGGGGAGTAAAGGAATTTTCTCTATTCCCTCTTCCTATGTAATATTTCTCCTGTGGCAGATTAACTTAACCTCTTCCATAAGCTGTATATTTCCGCATTACATTCTAGTATTTTTTTTATTTTCGAAAGGCTCAATGGCTTTGCCTTGCGTGTGTGGGCAGAATAATAAATATTATGAAGAAGAACGGTCGGTCGGTTTGTCGTTCGGAACAGGCCACTATTAACACATATTCAATTAGAAGGACCCAGTAGAAGATGAAGAAGAAAATGATTTAATGTCCTAGGAAAATCACCTCTAACCACAGATACCCTTTTCAAAAAAGGAAGCTCCTTTCAAGGATGTCAGTCAAATAAATCCACCAACTCTCGGCGGTTGTGTGTGCCTCACATTCCAAAAAAGGTATAACCGAAAATGAATTCACTTCGGAAATGGAAACCGAAAATAGAATAAACAACAACAACAGGAAAATAACAACTACATAAATGAAAATCGCCTTTCTGGGGAAAGCAAGTAGGCCAAAATTATGGTTACTCATGTCAGCCGGGCAGCGTAAAGCCTCCTACACGAGACTCACAAAAAACTGGACACATACACATTTATGCAATGAGGCGTAAAGCTGTGGCCTTTCCTAACAAAATGAACATCGACTGGCACGGTCGACTCGTCCTGTCTTCTTCTGTAGTTTTACACAACTTACAGGGTATTCCATTGTTGTTGTTGTTCCGTTTGCCCGTAGTTTTCCATGGCCTTTAATTGAGATTTATTTTGTAGCAAACAAAAGGATTCAACATCTAAAGGATGTTCAAGGATGTCTTCCATTGTTATTTTAGGACAAATTTTCAACAGATGACCGAAAATTGCCATTTAATTTGTTATCGAGTGGCTACGTGGTGCTGGGTAGGGGTTCGGAAAGTATTACTTATGCTCTACTAGCTTAATGTCAAAATCAATTGTTACTATATTTAATTATAAAGAAATAAATTTTGCGGAATTTTCTTGAGAACATGAAAAAAGGAAAATTAAAAAGGTAAGATTTCTTAAATTCAAGATTCTTTTCGAAGTGTGTCAATAGGCTCTCTCAAAAAAACGAAGTGGTATTTTCATAGAAGGAAATAAATGGTCTTCCAAGAGAAGTTTAGAAAGGCTTTTCGAAGAAGAGCAGGCCTTCTAGGAGAAGATCAAAAGGTCTTCTCATAAAAGAGCATGGGGTTTTCATAAAAGAGCATAAGGAGAGCAGAAGGTATTCTCATAAAATACCTGCGGTCTACTCACAGAAGAGCTGAAGGTCTTCTCATGGAAGAGCTGAAGGGCTTCTTCTCAAAGAAGAGCCATAGAAGACGTTAAGGTCTTCTCATAGAAGACGTAAGGTCTTCTCATAGAAGACGGGAAGGTCTTCTCACAAAAGACAGGAAGGTTTTCTCGTAGAAGAACCGAATGCCTTCTCAGAGTAGAACCGAAAGTCTCTTCCGAGAAGTGACGAAAGTCTTTTCAGAAAAGTGCGAAGGTCTTCTCAGAGAAGTATTGGAGGCCTTCTCATAGAAGAGCCGGAGGCCTTCCCATAGAAGAGCCGGAGGCCTTCCCATAGAAGAGCCGGATGCCTTCTCATAGAAGACTTTAAGGTCTTCTCATAGAAGACTTTAAGGTCTTCTCATAGAAGACTTTAAGGTCTTCTCATAGAAGACTTTAAGGTCTTCTCATAGAAGACTTTAAGGTCTTCTCATAGAAGACTTTAAGGTCTTCTCATAGAAGACTTTAAGGTCTTCTCATAGAAGACTTTAAGGTCTTCTCATAGAAGACTTTAAGGTCTTCTCATAGAAGACTTTAAGGTCTTCTCATAGAAGACTTTAAGGTCTTCTCATAGAAGACTTTAAGGTCTTCTCATAGAAGAGCCGGAGGTCTTCTCATAGAAGACGCGAAGGTCTTCTCATCGAAGACGCGAAGGTCTTCTCATCGAAGACGTTAAGTTCTTCTCATAGAAGAGTGGAAGGTCTTCTCATAGAAGAGTGGAAGGTCTTCTCATAGAAGAGTGGAAGGTCTTCTTCGATAGAAGGCTGGAAGGTCTTCTTCGATAGAAGGCTGGAAGGTCTTCTTCGATAGAAGATGTTAAGGTCTTCTCATAGAAGACGTTAAGGTCTTCTCATAGAAGACGGGAAGGTTTTCTCGTAGAAGACGGGAAGGTTTTCTCGTAGAAGACGGGAAGGTTTTTCGTAGAAGACGGGAAGGTTTTCTCGTAGAAGAACCGAAGGTCTTCTCAGAGAAGTGCCGAAGGTCTTTTCATAGGAGTCGCGAAGGTCTTCTCATAGAAGACGAGAAGGTCTTCTCAAAGAAGACGCGAAGGTTTAGAGAAGAACCGAAGGTCTTCTCAGAGAAGTGCCGATATTTTCTTCTCTGAGACAAGAGCTGAAGGTCGTTTCTACGCTGAGAGAAGAGCTGAAGGTTTTTTTCTTCTCTGAGAGAGGAGCTGAAGCTAATTTCTTCTCTGAGAGAAGAGCTGAAGCTACCTTCTTCTCTGAAATTAGAGCTGAAGTTTTTTCTCCTTTGAGAGAAGAGCTGAAGCTATTTTCTTCTCATTTAATCACCTGAACTGCCTAGGTTTTCATTTCTCACCGAAGACCTAATGGTCTTTGTTGGTGTTGTATTCCCGTGTTGTAGTCCCTTCAAATGATTCATTAGCTGATGAAGAAGTGTCCCTGGACGTTTGGGTCAATATCCATGTCCAAGGTCCATAAAAATACCCCTCCCCCTCGCATAAGAAGATTGATTATTATACCCATACATTTTTAGAATTACTTTTTTTTCATGCCGCTGGCTATAATCCGCAATTTTTGCTTTTACAATTCTATCCGATTATGTTTTTTTTGCTATGTGTCCTTTGAAGGATATATATTTCTGTGTCTCACAACTAACCAAATACCCATTATCTTTTTCATTTTTTTCAGATTTTAAAGTGCTTTATTTCTAAGCCATTGGCGAGCCACCCGTGTCCGAAGGACTGCCGAAAAGGCAGATCCGAATTAAATCAAAACAAATACACAAACAAACAAAACAACACCAAAATTGTCATAACCTCGGAGGTCATGGTGTTCGGGAACATTGTTTGCCTGTGACAACAAAGGACAAGAGAAAAAAGTGTCAGCGAAAGGAACGTTTTGGTGTGTCAAACAGTTAAAGCAACAACAACTACTACTACAACAACAACAACTCAAGTGGAAACCCAATAAACGTGCTTTGAAATCCAGGCAGCATCAGCTACAACAACATACATTCTGCCCGGGAACAAAACGTTTTCAGAGAACATTAACGCCAGCAGTTATCTTCCGAGAACGTGGAAATCTCTTCCCCTGCTCCCGTCTCTGGTTTTTTTTTCATTTTGACAAATAACTACCAATTAAGTGTCCGTCCACATAGCTGCAAAAAAAACAGAATTCAATTTCTTATCCCAAGAACGACATAACAACGCACAACAACAATAACAACACGAAGAAGAATCCCAGCGTTGATGGGGAATTGAAAAGAAAAGCAAAGAAAGAAAAAACTCCTCCTCTTTTTTGTGTGAAATTTAAACCTGACGAAAAGCCTTTTTTCCTGCGGATTAATAACAAAAGGCTTGGACAAAAGCGTTTTTGTGTTCTTTCGTTTTTTTTTTGTTGTAATCTAAAAGATTTTCCCTGTAAATTGTCCACCCACACACACACATTGACACAATGTCTGAGTTCTCATCACTGGAAATGGGCTCCGTCGACCGACCGCCCAATCGCTTTCAAGTGAATCCTGTCAACCACAAAAACAACAATGACAAGACAACGGCCGGTGATGATGTGCCGCACGAGGTGTATCGTCGCCTGACCGGAAGCGATGGTGAACCCATCGAGGATGACACATTCAACGAGGATGCCTCACAAATGGTCAAGGCCCAGCCCAAGCAACAGAGGTAAGTGTTAACAACTATTTGAATAACTTTCGAGAAATGGGAAAGGTTTTTTTTGGTTGTTTTTATGAACTTTTATTGCTATCCACCTGCCCAGGGGGAAGCCAGGTTGGCTGTGTGCCAGCTTGGAATCTTTAAAGTTTCGTTTAAACAACATTAGTTCCACTAAATGGGATTCGGTGTCAGTTTTGCTATTTTTCTCTTATTGACGATTTGTAGGCCAATGAGAAGTTAAACTAATCTACTTTGTAACGAGAATTCCCAAACTGAGGGGCAAAGAAGTTTGAAAAGAAATTACATTTCAAAATGATTTCAGCTTTGAAATTAGCTTTTCTTCATGGCACATCAATTACAAGGCAGGTTACATGCTCCTATGGCAGTAGAAATGAAAGGGAGGGGAGGGGGGAGGAGAACAAGAGAGATTATACGTTATTACGTTTGTCCATCTCCTATTATATGAAAGCTTGAACTTGGGTCTGTAAGAAAAGAATAACTGGTCATCTGTGAGAGAAGACCAACTGGTCTTCTGTGGGAGAAGAAGAAACTGGTCTTCTGTGAGAGAAGAAGAAACTGGTCTTCTGTGAGAGAAGACCTCCTTCTGATATTCTGTGAGAGAATACCTCGTTCTGGTTTTCTGTGAATGAAGACCTCCTTCTGGTTTTCTGTGAATAAAGACCTTCTTCTGGTCTTCTGTGAGAGAAGACCACCTTCGGGGTCTTCTATAAGAAGATCTACTTCTGGTCTTCTATGAGAAGACCACCTTCGGGGTCTTCTATGAGAAGGCCACCTTCGGGGTCTTCTATGAGAAGACCACCTTCGGGGTCTTCTATGAGAAGGCCACCTTCTGGTCCTCTATGAGAAGACCTTCTTCTGGTCCTCTATATGAAGACTTACCTCTGGTCTTCTATGAGAAGACCTACCTCTGGTCTTCTATGAGAAGACCCTCTGGTCTTCTATGAGAAGACCCTCTGGTCTTCTATGAGAAGACCTTCTGGTCTTCTATGAGAAGACCTTCTGGTCTTCTATGAGAAGACCTTCTGGTCTTCTATGAGAAGACCTTCTGGTCTTCTATGAGAAGACCTTCTGGCCTTCTATGAGAAGACCTTCTGGTCTTCTATGAGAAGACCTTCTGGTCTTCTATGAGAAGACCTTCTGGTCTTCTATGAGAAGACCTTCTGGTCTTCTATGAGAAGACCTTCTGGTCTTCTATGAGAATACCTTCAGCTCTTCTATGACCTTCAGCTCTTCTATGACCTTCAGCTCTTCTATGAGAAGACCTTCTCGTCTTCACGGAGCAGACCTTCTCGCTTTCTCTGTGAAGACATTCTAAACTTCTCTGGGAAGACCTTCTCGGTTCTATGAGAAGAAATTCACGCCTTTAATGAGAAGACATTTTTGTCTGCTATGAGAATACATCCCTGTCTTCTCTTTTATGAGAAGACCTCCCTTATCTATCTCTGCCTTCTCTGATAAGACCTTTGCTGTATTCTCTGAGAAGACCTTCTTGGTTTCTCTGGGGAGACCTTTTCGTTGTTAGAAAACCTTTCGTCTCTTTAGGATAAAAACTCCTCTTCTAAGAGGACACTTTACTGTTTCTCTTAGCAAACATTTTTTGAGGCCACCTGAATAAGGTCTTCCTGTCTTCTTATTTTCTGTCTAATCTAAGGCCTTTACCCGTTCTCCTGGTTTGCTATGAGTATTTATTTTGCTCCTCCGTGAAAAGACCTAGTGGCCTTTTGGCTGTCGTGTGTCCTCTTGTAATAGCAACAGGTGTCTGTCGTCTCTTTGTTATAATCTTCTATTGACGAGATTTCCTGCATCCTTTTCATTTTTGCAATACAGTACTATCTCTCTCCCCCTCCTTCATGCATGTTGAAGTTACAACTTGTTTTGCAACATATTTGGTGTTGTCGAGGATCAAAATATTACTCCATTTAAGTTTTGGCCGCTCTTAATCTTTTGATGCTGGTAGTCAACTTTAAAGGAACATTTCCTTTTTTCCTTACCCAAAAGAATCGTAAATGATTCAAACCCAGCAAAACTTCATAACATTTATGCTCTCTTGAGCTTAAATCTTATGTAAATCTCTAATCTAAAGTTAGTCCATTTTCCCTCTGGGGCAAAGGGATTGCTTCACTAGCCGTAACTTTTACTACGCAACAATCATTTATCACCAATTGCTGGTAATAAATAACTGGAATTGAACTTTTTCTGGGCGAGTTCATAGGCCTTTTTCTTGCAATCTTGGCACGCGTTTTATTTTTAATATCTGCGCCAAGCGAAATTAATAGATGGAATTCCTCGCCGACGCGTTAGTGGGCGATGGCATCAGCGTTTTTTTGGAGGCATTCGAAGGTATATTCGAGAAAAGAACTGAAGAAAAGGAAAAAAGATTCATTGGACTGCCGCTGGCAACAATTATTCACAAAATGACAAGTCAAAGTTTCGGTTGCCTGGTTATTTCTCTTCTTTTCTTCTTTTTTTTCGCTTGGCACAATGAAATTAATATCACTTTAAGGGAATCAAAGGTAACCATAAGGACTCAACGATTCACCTTTTGTAGTACCAATGAACCTGGTTGCTGTATCTGCTTGTGTGTGTGTGTGAGTGGATTTTTTTATTAGCCTCCAGACAAAAATTGCATTCTCTCTTTTTTAGCCGAAGCATTTAAGTCCATTCACATTTCATATTTGCGTGTGCAGGTCATAAGTTGTGTGTGTGTGTGTTTGTGTGGTGTCATATGTTCGTTCGTTTAAACTTTATGGCTTATGGCATGTTTTTTATTTGTTAGGAGAGAGGAGAGAGAGGAAGCAACAAAACTCCCAAAGTCAACGACTAACTTTGTTTTATTGACACTGTTGCTGTGTGGTGCATACTTTTGGGAGATCAAGATATACATTTACTAAATACTTTGAATACCACAAAGGTACAAAGTCTTTTGTTTAGGTTGGATAAACTATTTTAGCGACAGAGAATTTTGGAAATATATTTTTTTTGTTTAATGCCTTAAAATGTTTAAATTGAAAATGTTATTCCAAGTATGCTGCATACTTTTAGGCCGAACATTTTAAAGTTCAGTTTTATGTATACATATAAAAAAAGTAGCTGTTTTGGGCGGGTTTTAGAAATGCACAAATATCTGGATAATCGGCCAGGATTTCTGTTATCAAAATTTCCCCTCCTACATTTAAAATATGCACTTACGGATCAAGCCTCCTTTTCAAAGACTACTCTTTATTTATCTCCTAATTTTTACACCTCCAGCCATATGGCTACAGAGGGTATAAGTCATTTGCTACGGCCAAAACGTGACTCATCGAAAAAATAGTTTTAGACCAAAGGTCTCTTTGGATCAAATCCGTTTCAGGACATTTGGAGTCTATCTAAGGGTGTCCGTCCATCTGTCTGGCAGATTGCTGCGCACCATAACTCTCGAAGAAAGTATTCGATTTGGTCCAAACTTGGTACATCGTAATATTGTTATCAAACTTAGATCGAATTCTGAGATGGGCTATATCCTCCCACTCCTTCTAGTATCTCCCCCACAAAAGGGCAAAATTTTCAAAGAAAATAATTTACCTCAAAGAGAAAGAAACAAACATTCGATTTTGTGCAAACTTTGCACATCTCAATATTTTTGCCAGAGCTAGGTCAGGTGCGAAGACTGACAATATCGGTCCACTCCATCAAGTACCTCCCACATGAAGGGTCAAAATTTTGAATAATTATAATTCTTAAAAAATGTGATGTCACATCCCGATTGTTTACACACATTACAATATTTCTATTAACCCAAGGTCTGGTGTGAAGATGGAATATATCGGTCCACTCCTTGTGGTACCTCCCCCACAAAATTTCGAAATTTTCAAAAACATATTTTACTGCACAGAAAGAAAAAGGATAATCCGATTTTGCTCCAACTTTGTAAATCCTAATATTTGTATCAGTGCTAAGTCAGGTGCGAAAATTGACAATATCGATCCATTCCATCAAGTACCTCCCCCACAAATGGTCAAAATTTTGAATAATTATAATTTTTATAAAATTTGAACTAAGAGTCTGACAATCTTCAAATTTCGCTCATTTCAATATTTTTATAAACTCAAGATCTGCTGTGAAGATGTAATATATCGATTCACTCCTTCTGGTACCTCCCACACAAGGGGTCAAAATTTTGAATATCAAGGGCGCTCATAATTTGCGAAATTAACATTCGATTCTTTTCAAATTTCACACATCCCAATACTTCTACTTAAGCAAGATCTGTTGTGAAAATGGTAGATATCGGAACACTTGTTCTGTTACCTCCCCCACAAATGGTCAAAATTTTGAATAATTATAATTTTTATAAAATTGGAACTAACAGTCCGATTATGTTTAAATTTCGCACATTTCAATATTTCCGCTAACACAAGGTCTGGCATGAAGAACGGGATGAACGGACCACTCCTTCTGGCACGTCCCCCATAAAGAGTTCAAAATTTGGAATATCCATGAAGTTCATAAATCGCGCAGTTAACATCCGATTCCTTTTTGACTTGTCTCACCTCAATATTTGCATAAAGACAAGATCTGTTTTAAAGACGGTAGAGATCAGGCCATTTCTTCTGGTACCTCCCCCACAAAGGGTCAAAGTTTTGATTAACCAAAACGATCATAAAATCCGAAATAAGCATCCGATTTTCTTCATATTTCACACGTTCTATTATTTCTACTAACATAAGATCTGATGTGAAGATGGTATCTCCCCCACAAAGAGGTCAAAATTTTGAATATCCATGAAGCTTATAAAACGCGAAATTAACATCCGATTCCATTCAGACTTGGTGCATCTTTATATTTCTCTCAACACAAGACCTATTATAAAGATGGTTGAGATCAGACCCTTTCTTTTGGTATCTTCCCACAAAGGGTCAAATTTTTGAATAACTACAGGTTAGGATAAAAAACAGCAACAATGTCGAACGCCATATTTTTTACATTTTTTTTTTAATCTTATTGAA